TGGCTATGACCAGAGTGCAAAGGCGGGGATTAGTACAAAGTTATCGGGAGATCTTCAACGAAGACTTAAGTTGCCTCAGAGTTTATGAAGTAGACATTAAATTAAAAGATGGTTGCGTTCCGAAGTTTTGTGCGTTACGGAGGATACCGTTTGAATGAAGAAAGGAAGTGGAATTGGAGTTAAATCAACGGGTAAGAAAAGGTATTGTATGTCCGGTGGAGTAAGTGAATGGTCGACTCCGTTACTGCCTGTGAAAAAGCCAATGAGAAACTTCGTTTATGCGCAGATTTTCGAGTTACAGTAAATCCGTGGGTAGTGGAGGTTACCCTTGTCAAGATTAGAGGAAATACTAGCTAGTTTAAAAGGAAGTGTTTATTTTTCAAAAGTGGATTTCTCTAGAGCATATCTGCAACTACAGGCAATGCCGGAGGTAAGGAAGTTGTTAACGATTACTCCGCCGAAAGGATTTGTTTGCATTTTGTAGATTCATTTGTACTTAGTGTTTCAGCTCCCATTTTTCAGCCTACGATAGTTGCGGTTTTCCAGGGAATGGAGTGAGTTTTCTACATATGGATTATGTCTTGGTGACGGGGAAAATTTTCGAACAAATGAACAGAGATTGGAAAAGATTTTGAGGAATTAAAGAGAAAGGATTGAGAGCCAGCGGGGAGAAAAGCGTGTTGGGGGTTACCGAATTGACTTATCTGGGGCACAATATCACAGGAAAGAAGGTGCGGCCCGTGGATAAAAATATGACTGAAATTAATAATATGATTATACCCAGTAATAAAGCAGAGGTACAGGCATTTTTGGGGATGTTAAGTTATTATCATCAGTTTGTGGAAGGATTTGCTCAAATAGGAGCGCCCTTATATCAGTTAATAAAGAAAGGAAGAAAATTTGATTGGACAAATGAACAAGAGGGGTCCTTCAAAGCATTGAAGGGTCGTATAGGAAAGGAACCCCTTTTATTGTGTTTTAATAATGAATTGGAGGTGATATTGGCAGTAGATGCATCTCATAAAGGTGTAGGAGGAGCGCTGTTGCACTCTATTGATGGGGTAGAAAGGTCGGTGTTATTTTTCTCAAGAATCTTTAGAGCGACAGAGATAAGGTATTTAGTGATTGAGCAAGAAGCATTGGCTGTTATTTTCGGGTTAACAAAATGCCGTGAATATCTGATCGGGCGCAGATTTATTATTTACATCGATCACAAGCCGTTGGTGCATCTATTCCGGAAGGATAACAAGGAACTAATGCTATCGCCTAGGCTGCAGGGATGGTTATTGCTCGTAGAGTTTTGATATACAAAAATTATTTACCAGACATTTTATCCAGATGAGCTGGGGATGATTTGGAGAAGAAGGAACAAGAGGAAAGGGAGGAAGAAATTGAACAAGGGCTGATTCGGACCATGGCAGGAGTATCTCGAGGCGGGCCAAGAGATTAAAAGAGTGACTTTGAAAGATAAGGAATTGAGAAGGATCAAAGCGTGCCTTAAGGGACAGAAAACGTGGCGGGAGGGAGACAGGACCTATAAATATGTACAAAAGGAATTAGCGATAATAGATGAGTGTTTGGTGCGAGGAAGAAAAAATGAGTGTTATACCAACCAAACTAAGAAAAATGGCGATGATTCATGCTGGGCATCAAGGAATGGAAAAAATAAAACAGGGGGGGGGGTGAAAATATGTTTGGTGACCAGGAACCGAGACATTGAAAATATCAGTCGAACTTTTGTTAGATGTAATTCTTGGGCTCCGAAGCCCTGAAAAGATTAAGAAAGTGTGTGGCCGAAGACAGCGCAGTCTTTGGAGCGCATCCATTTGGATTTCTTTGACTTCGAAAATAAAATATATATATATTAGTGGTAGATGCTTTTTCGAAATGGGTAGAATATGAGGAAGTAAGAAGATTATCAACACAGATCGTGATAAAAGTATTAAAAAATTTATGGGCCAAATTTGGGGTTGCTCTGACAGTGGTAACGGACGGGGATCCTGCCTTCATTAGTAGACAATTCTAAATCTTTTGTAAAGAAACTGGAGCGAAACACATTTTAGCGCCTCCATATCACCCGAGTTCGAATGGACAAGGGGAGAGGATGGTAGCGGTGGTCAGGAAATGGTTTAGAAAGTCAAAGGATGGAGGCGGAGAGATGTGGGTGGCCGTGGCGTACTATAACAACAGTAGAAAAGAGAGGAGCCATCGCCGGAGGAGAAGTTTTTAGGACGGAGAACTAGAATTTGGTTGGATTCGTTAAAACCGACAAGACAGGGAAAGAAGCTGTCTGCGGCCGGGAATGAAGGAGAATTTAAGATAGGGCAGACAGTATGGGCTTGGATATTTGGAAGTAATAAGAAATCGGAATCCGGAGTGATCGCGGAGAACATGAGACAAAAATTAAATAGAGTGAAATTCACCGACGGAAGAGAGGGAGTACGGCATCGGAAAATTATTCATTTTAGTATGGTGAGCAATATATCCTGGAAAAATTGAAGGGGACAGTTAAGCCAGAAGTGGGGTAGCTCAATACTAAGGATTGATAATAATAATAAAAATAGCGGGGTGATTGATAATAATAATAATAATAAGGGAATCAACCATATAATGGTTGATGTGGGACAAAATAGTTAATGAATTGTACAAATGGTAAATGAAGCCAGGTCGAACTAAGATAATTTCTACGGTAAATCGACAATAGAGACACACAAAGGAAAGAAATTCAAGAATCACCGTATAAATTCGTGAAAACACCATAAAGGGACGAGAATTATGCCGGGTGAGAGGTAAAATGAGAAGTTGGGTTTTAATTTAGTGGAGGCATATTATTTGTATCGTGTTAGCGAGGAGTCACTTTGTATAATAAATTGGATATTTGTGATTAATATTTTTTTGATTTTTTGCGCATTCATTCTTTCAGTGATTAATATTTTCTGATTTTTTTTACGCTTTCATTCTTGTGATATATTATAAAAAAAAAGGCTATTTTTAAAATTAGAAAAAAATAATTTTTATTTTTTGTTTATTATTATGCATTAATTAAATAGATATATGTAGAGAAAAAAAGAAATAAAAAAATGATTATTGCATTTTTATATTTTTTTTAAAATTGAGTCATACATTTCTGTTTTATTGTAAAAAAAGAAAGGGAAAATACATTGAACAAAGGGTAATATTTGACTTTGAAAAACATTCATCATAAACAGTATAATTTTTACATTAATATTTAGGATTTATTAATAGTATAATTTACATTAGTATTTATTTGTTGATCTTTTTAAAATAGTATTAATAAAATTTATTTCTTACATTTGCCACTTATAGAAATCATTTATGTTTAATTAGTAAATATTTTTTTTATGGAAGAATTAAAAAATCCTATACATACATACACATTTATTTAATTATAAACCGGCCAACTCATTTAACAAAAAAGATATTGCCCAAAACTCGATTTCGTACATCAAAATCCTCCTGCTATCTATAAGCATTCAGGTTTGCCTAATATTTTTATGCATAAAATAAAAATACTAAGTTAGCCATTTTTAAAAATTAGCTCAAATAGAGCGGTTATACATCGCTAAGATCAAGATATAACCAAAATAATATTCTGTAAGTCTGTATAATTGGCTGATAGATAACAGCAGAGGAAGGTTTAAACATATTTCACTCCCGCAGTTTTTTAAATAAAAAACAAATTGGATTTTAGTTGATGATATCGTCAACAGTAACGTTACTATGTATCCACGCAGGGGTTGAGCTTCCTGTTTAAGAGCCCCTGTAAATTTTGAATATTTTTTTATACCAAAAATGGTCATTTTAAAAAATTTAGGTCAAATAAAGGCCAAAATATTTTAGAAACATCTGACCAGCTTTTGCATAAGTGGGAGGGGTAGGAACAGTTTGCTTCCAATTTTTTTGGAGGATTAGGAGGTAGGCCTTTATGGGGTGTCGGCTAGAATAAAATTAAATAACTGGGAGATATCTATTAAATCTTTAGATCAAATAAGGCAAAATATATTTCTGTAAAAATTAATACTTTTATTATAAGCTTAATAATAAATTGATATGGGTAAACATCGACTAAATCTATATATTGCCTAAAATAATAAATATTATTTTTCTAATAAAACTTTCTGCTATACTTTTAAATATCTCAGCAAACTAATATTCATGTTAAATTATACTTTTTAAAATTTATGGAATACCATTATAATTAAAAGGTGCAGTTATTTTTTTTAGAGGGGTGATGAAGGGGATTTTACATTCCGTGAAAATCCTATTATTTGGACGCTGCCTATGAGATTATAACTAGTGACATCTTAGATCGACGTCATTACCTTATCATCAATAAATTTTTACAAATATGGGACCAATCAAATATTTTATTTCTTTGTTATTATTATTATTTTTTAATTATTGTAAAACATAGGCATACCAAGATTTTTATAAGGAGGGAGAGGAGAAATCAATATTAGGTAGTTTTTTTCCCCATAAAATTGAGATCTTTAGGTCCACTTATTGTAGGCCTTTGATTATATTAAATTTCAGTAGAAATATTTATGTAAATCATTCTTTTTATAATTTATAAAGAGAAAACTATTATAATTAAAAGGTGTATTATTTTTTTAGAAGGGTGATGAAAATGATTTTACATCCCGTGAAAATCCTATTATGTAGACGCTGCCCCTGGTATGCATTTTTTGGGCAAAGGAGAGTTGGGGGAGGGGTATAGGGGATAAATTTCTATAGGCCTAAAAAGAAATTTACGAGAACCGACAAATTTGTTGGGTAAGTGGATTTACCCCCTCCTTTCCTTGGTTAAGCGTCTGGTGAAATATATTCTAGGATAATCTGTTTTTAAATTTAAAATTTTTCATATATATTAATAAAAGAAGTGGCACATCATTTAAAATCAAGAAAAAATATAGTAATTTACTACAGTTATATGATGAATGTCAATTATTATATTTTTCTATAGACTCATTATATTTTCAAACATTGAACTAAAAATGAGTCTACCTAAATATAAATCCTTATCAAATGGTAATAATTACCAAAAGCCTAAATATAAAGATAAATATAATTCACCAAATACATCATACAATTCACATAAAATTCAAAAATATTCTCAAACTTTGCCATGGATGCAACTTAGGAACATTTATTCTCAAGAGCCCATCATTAGGTATATATATTAAATATTTAGAAAGAAAGAAAGGAATATTAATATTTTACTACAAATATGAATATCATTATGTTTTTATAAAGTCAAGGCTGGGATCAACATTCTTCAATCAAAAAATTAATAAGTCATTATAAAGTCTTTTATTCCTAATATTTTAGAACATTTTAATTTTCAGCTGATGATGGTTTAAGACCAAATAATCTGACCACTTCTCCCTGGGCCTTGGGTTAATCTTTAATTTGGGACTATAAATTCAGCACAATCACCAAGGACCTTCATGGGTTGGGTATGGACCTAAAACTATATTATCTAGTGGGCTTGGTGTTTGAAAAATTTATGAGCCAGGCTGGGGATTAAAATTTTTTTGAATATTGTTTATTTTCATTGAATGCAAGAAATTAAATTTTTGGATATAGGCTTGTTTTGTGCTTGAGCAAAATTTTTGATACTTTTTATGGATTTGGGAAATTTATTAATATTAATTATGGGCCAAGCCTTTTCCTATAAGTTTTTTACGACTGCTAGCCTGGGTCTTATCAAATAATTCAAGCTCATAAAGGTTTCTGAGAGGCATAACCAACGGGGAAGGAGCCAGAGGAAAACCTCCTTTCAGAAAATTACCTTTTTTTGTAAATATAATTTTTAGCTAATAAAAATTTCTTCCTATATTGATTTTCATATACCACCTATTTTTGAACATATGTCCTAAAAACATCAAGATTTTCTATTTTAAAAAATCAACTAACTATCACGAATTATCTTTCATCATCACCATACTTTTCCTTTTTCAAACACAATTTCACCAATGCAACCACTCAGCCTGACCATTGGAACTTAAATGATTTGGAGCTGTTGCATAATATTTTTCTCTATAAAATAATGAGTGAGCCATTTTTAAAAATTGACTCTTATAGAATGATTTTGCAACACTAGATGTATGCATTAAAAATTAAAATGATGTTTGTTTACATATTACAAAATCAGATATGATATAATTGGTTATTGGCCGATATCAATTTAATATTGATTGGCCTCCAAAAAGTGATATCATATACCCCAGTTATAATGTTTATTATTGCAAGTTGTGTCACCTAATATACCTTTAGAATAATATAAATAAAAATGACATAAACATAATAAGCTAGTGCTGAAGTTAGGGCAACTCACTACGAGACTCTTAATTGTGCCAACATCTAAATAAATAATAAAAGAAACTATGCAAATGTAAAAATAATATATCGTTGTATGCTCCATGTATTCAAATATCTCTATTTTAAAATTTATAAACACTATTTTTTGTTATATTTATCTGCAATAAGAAAATTTTCTAACAAATTCTGCTGCTGTTGTTACATATTTTAAAAAATATATATTTATAAATGAACAAAATATTCAAGTAGATGCAATAAAAATTTAAAGTATCTTTGAATATTTTGATCTCTAGTCAGAACCTCTAGAAGAATTGGAATGCTTACAATTGATGGATAAATGCTCATAAGTATTGTTTGCAACGGTCCGGTCCAGTCCGGTCTTATTAGACTTTTCGGTCCTATGGGACGGTCCCGTCTAACAACACGGTCCGGTCCGGTCCGACCAAAGACCGATTAAAGAATATAAAAGTTTACTATAAATTGCTTTATAGTTAATGTGTGTGTACATGAACATATTAAAATATGATTATTTAATGCCTAACACTTTATAATATCTAATTCATCGTTTACTCTTTATATTCTTCCGTTTCATTAAATTCAATATTCATAGTTTACTTTTTATATTCTTCTTTGATTAGGCATTTGTGTATAATATAATAAAAATGAATTGATGATATAATTGAAATATTAACAGGGTAGTTTAACTATTCATTTTTAATAAATTTAAATGCAGAATAAAACTTTTGTAGCTTTATAAAAAAAATTTTTTTAGGTGAGACCGGACCGGACCGATTGTCCCACGGTCCGGTCTCATTTGACTTAACGGTCCATCGGTCCGGTTCCATTTTAGAAAAAAAGTTTGGACCGGACCGTTGCAAACACTACTCATAAGTGGTCAGATTTACCAAAGTCTATAGATTTTCTTGAAAATAAAAATGTTCCTATAAATGAGTCACCAATTTTACAATAAAATAAGTTGTGTTAAATATGTAAAACTTCCACTTCACCAAAAAAGGGTCAAACATTTCTCAATATTCCAATCCTTGAACAACATAGTTAACTGATAAATATGGCAGGTTTCATTTTTGCTATACCAGCTCATAATGCTACCTAACTTTTAAGGAATCTTTTCTTTAATCATTAGTCAATGGACAAATGAAGATATCGATTATTCATGGAATCGTAATCTATAAAAGCAATTGTATGTTCACAATACAATTTATATCATTTTTATGCCACTATTTCTATAAATATTTGAAAAAACCAAATTTTATTACAAAAGATATTTACAAGTGAAATATTGAATAAAATAATTGCTGCCAAAAAAATCAACTACATTTTTTTAATTTGCCATATTCAAAATGCATAAAAAAATCAATTTTTCACTAAGCTAGAGCTGGTAACCATAGGCCTACTGGTTTCCTAACCAATTTTACCAGTAATGTTTACTCTAAGCAAAGACTTTACCAGTAATGTTTACTCTAAGCAAAGACTTAAAAAACAACATGGCAATTTATATTCTCACTAATCGCAACTTACATAAATGGATGTTTTATACTCATCCATTTTGATTTTTATAAAAAATTTGGCTCATAAAATAAAAAATTCAACACATGGAACCTAGATGATCCAATTATTCCTTACAGTGCGCACAAATTGAGCGTTTCAAAGGCTGCGTTGCATGCGCAAATAATGCATTTCAAATGGCCTCATGCAAATTGGTAAAATTATCGTCTGGCGTTAGCAACCATTTAAAAAAAAACACGAAAATGGGTTTGTTTTTTTCATTGCTTTTTTTAAAATTCTTCGCCCTGTAATGTGTGATATAAATAACTTACTTATATCCATCCTAAAAAAAAGGAATATTTAGAAATTAAATAAGAAGGCAGACGATAATATAATTTTCAAACACAAAATCCCTTTTTTATAGAACTTGTTTTAAATTTTGAATCGACCAATATTAATATAAAAAGACAGCCTCAATTTAAACAAGGGACGCGTTACCTTTTTTTTAAAAAAAAAAAATAACGGCAAAACGTAAACGCTCAATTTGTGTGCCACTCTTATGCAGTACATATAAATATTATATATTTTTTAAAATTTAAATTTTCATTCCTTTTTAAAGGGGACAAAAATTTTTCTTTTCTTTTCTTTTTCTACAATTTTTTTTTTATCCTTTTAAATAATTTAAAACAATATGTTTAAAATTATTTTAATATTATTTTTCAATAAAAATATATAAATAATTGAAATAGATTACACGAGGAAATATTAGATGCCTATACTTACTTAAAACCGTCAACCATTGAGTACACGATGAGGGTTGATCTTGTTAACAGGATAAAAACAATGATAAACGACGTGTGGCCAAATGCTTTAGTGAGTAATATGATGAATACATAATTACATCCACATATCTATTAATCTCAGTTTTCATATATAATTATGAAGTTAATTAATAATTATGAGCTTATATTTTTGTTCTAAACTAAGTAACTTGCAAATGCTTCTCTTCTCTTTGAAAGAAAGAAAGGAGAGGAGAAGAGAAGAGAAGAGAAGAGAAGAGAAGAGAAGAGAAGAGAAGAGAAGAGAAGAGAAGAGAAGAGAAGAGATTCTTGCTTCTAGCTTCTAGCAAGAGAACGAGCTAGCATGCTATCTTTCTTTCTTTCTTTCTTTCTTTCTTTCTTTCTTTCTTTCTTTCTTTCTTTCTTTCTTTCTTTCTTTCTTCTTTCTTTCTTTCTGTGAGTATTATGATGGACACTATTTTCGCATATCTAATAATCTCAGTTTTCATATATATAATTATGAACTATATTTATCTTCTAAACTAGCTAACTCTTAATGTATACGACCACATTTGGGTCTCTCGATTAAGATTTTCACCATAGTAAATATTATTTTAAGCCCCCTGACAGTTGGCAAACAGAGGTTCCAAAACTTTCTCACATCTATGAGTAAAATCTCCAGGTTTTACATAATATTATTCTAGCTACAAATCTTGATCGAGCCGTTGTACAACACCACTACCTGATACAAATATTTATTTTTTTTATAAAAATCAATTTTTAGGTCGAAGTCTTTGGGAGTTTTAAAACAGGGTTATATTTGCCTACAAGGTTAATTTACTGTACTATATTATTTATACCATATTTTTCAAATTATTTATACTAATGAAACCCTTTAAAGTTGGAGTTTTAATGGCTTTGCTTTAATTAACTCTGTCAAACTTGAGCATATGGTTTTTTGTTATAAATTGAGGAATGTATAACAGTCCAATTCAGACTTGAAACCTTTCATCTCAATTAATTATTTATTTTTTATAAAAAAAAATTAGCAGATGCATCCACGTGGATTTTAGAAATACCGATATATCAATTAAATCTACTGAATCCTTGATTTAAAAAAACATTTAAAAAATAAAAAACATAAAATTAACTTGAATTCTGATGTATCGTTTTGATTTCACAGATCAAACTGTAGTTTTTAAAAAAAAATAATTTACTTTTGTCTCTATGGGATAGTCTTAAACCCTTTCAATTTTAAATATAATATATAACCCTTCACAACCAAGGCCAAAATAATCCATTAAAATTACATAGATGGGGAGAGGTCTATTTTACCTGCAATATTTTTTACTCTATTATTATAGAAAATTATTGAAGATAGAAATTATTAGCATTGTAAAATTATAGAAGAGTTTAGTTAATAGATAAAAAATAATTCAGCTAGATATTAGAATATTGTCAAAGGTCGTGTCGATTCGATCTTCTTCGTTATCTAATTATTTGAGGCAGAGTTGGTCAGCAACGTCGACTCTAGTTTTGGTCAGGGTAAAATATTATGATTTCTGCAATATTTGTCATCGTATAAATGTCTCATGTCATATTGTACCTGAAAAAAACAGCTGATATTCGATTTTTTATGATTAGTCCCATACGTACGTACTCAATTACTCAATTCGCTCCATCATTGCTCATAGTCTCTTGAATTCTTCCATATTTTATTTTTGTTTTGCCCAGCACACGAATTTGTATCTGAAGCTAGCAATTTTTTTTTTATTGTGTTAAATGAAATAAAAAACGCAAATTGTTTTTTTCCTGTTTTTTCTCCACAAAAAACGTGAATTGTTTTTTTCCTGTTTTTTCCACCTTAAAATCACAAAAGCAAGGTTTAATTTTTTTATTTTGTAATAAAAAAAAAACAAAATGATGCATAAACAATCGTTTTTTATCCGTTATAATTTTTTATTATATACAATTAACCTTGCCCAATTTTATGTTAACTCTTTTGACTACCATTTTCCTCTCACATAAATTAAGTATCGGGTTACTTTTTAAATATACTCGGCCCGATATTTCTATGCACAATTTCGCGTTGGGTTTTAGGCCGTCTTGCCTTGGCTTTGATAGTACCTTTCATAAATAATAGATTGAAATATTTTGATAAAGAAGATTTTCGATCTTTTCCTGACTCGAATACTAATCATAAGAAGCTATCATATTTACCACCCTACCTCCTCCCCCTCTTTTTCTCGCTAAATTTATCTTAAAAAACGATACTTTATAACATCGATTATATTTCTTATAAATGCCCAAGAAATGGGTTAGAATACTTGTTATATTTTTTAATTAAACCCCCCAATAAAAAAATTACAAAATTTTTTCAGCGATGTAGATATAGTTTTGATCGGTAAATGGGAAGCTCTTCCCTTGTGGACTCTCAAAGAAATCATATTGAAATGCGATTTCTCTTACACCAAGGACATTCAAGTTCTCAATAACGCTGCCGTAATTAAAAAAAAATTTTTTTAATGCTAATTATTATTAATATCGGGTAAATAAAAATTTGAAAGAAAAGAAAGATGAGGGAATTGGGAGATGCCGAACCAAGTAAGGGGGGAATGGGTGGAATAATGAAACATTCATTATTTTTTTTCCTCAACTTATTTAAAAAAAAAAATGTTTTTAGGTTCCAATCGTAAAATTTACCGATAAAAAGACTCGATTAAATGTGGACATAAGCTTCAATATGGTGAACGGGATAGCCAGTTGCCATCTGATAAACGTAATATTAATATCAGCTGTTCATCACATGTTACATAATGATAAGTCGTTGAAAGAACATTTTTTTTTGTATTCCTGGATTTTTTTAAATTTTGATTCCCTTTAGTCTTCTTTGAACAAACTCGTGAAAATTTAAGGAATAAATGGACGATATACATTGGTAGAGGGGGATGACTAGAACAAAATTTTCGCCAAAACTATTATTTTAAACCCTTCGTGCAGTGAACGTTGGATTTATGTTGTTTATTTAATACCATCATATATATTAAAAATTTTGTTTATGACTGATCTAGGAATTTACGGAAAAATATCCTATATTAAGACCCCTTATCGTGGTTCTCAAACAATTTTTGATTCAAAGACAACTCAAGGAAGTTTTTACCGGTGGATTGTCATCTTATTCCCTGATTCTCATGATCCTCAATTTTATACAAGTATGTATGTGTGTGAATTTTTTTTTGAATCATAATATTTAATAAGTCTCATATTTTTATTGTTGTTATGTAACGCTTGAAAACGATTCCCAAATACGCGGGCAATTACACCACACCATTACGGAAGACGTGCGATTGTAATAGATTAGGGTCTGTTATTGGGTAAGAATTTAACATTACTGTCAAGGCTCATTTAATTAACGGTTCATGTTATCCGAATTAGTCAGGATGATAAGCAAAGGGATAAGGTAGGAGTAGATATAGTAGTTAGTTTCCAAATCTGTGCCCCTTTTACGCACCACCCATTATTACACTCTTCGAACCCGTTTTCGGCAGTAGATATATTAAACCGGGTCACATATTTCACAGGTCAAAATTTCTCAAAACTTCCTATATTTCTGCGACTCTGCCTCTAACCATCATTTTCGGTTCCATGACAGTTATATTCGGTTTTCCATTGATTTTACATATAAATTATAAATGACTCAAATGTTATCTGTAAAAAAAAAATTATCTTCTACAATTCATAAGATAGGCATTCTAAACATACTGGATTACATTTCCGGGTAGAATTTAGAATTGTAAAAAACGCGCTCAAAGTAACGATTTAAATTTTAATAAATAACCAATCGACTATGAGCCTCTTATTTATGCAAAATAATAATACACAAAAAAAAATGGCAGAACAACCAAAGATTACAACAAGATTTGGCGCGCGAGGATGTGAGTCAAATAAATTTGGGCGTCTTATTAATAGAATTTTTCGAAATGTTTGGCCGTCATTTTAACTATCATGGTGCAGGTACCTTATTAATTCTTTCTTTTTTTTATATAAAAAATTTTATATTTTTTCCGATCTATTATTTCCCGATATTCCTAAAACTCCGATCCGATATTTATTATACTATCTATCCCTGCACCAAATGTATAATAAAAATTAACGACTAAACTTCACGAATGATTTGTATTTTTTTTTTACTTCCTTTTTTCTTTATTCTCCAAAATTAAATGATCTTTCGTTTAAAAATATTTGCAAAATGTTTATGGAGGCGAATGCTGTAATGTTAAAACAGTTTCTATTTAACCCCGCTTTTTTAAAAAAGGGTTAAAATCATGATTTTAGCCCAAAATATTAATTAACTAAAAGCTTCGAAATTTCGCCAACAAAAATTCCCAAACATTTCTTCTACCATTCTCTAAAAAACAAGATTAATAATTTGAAGTATCCATTTTTTTAGAAAAAATTTGGCAAAATCGGGCCATTTAACAACACTAACTTGAATGCGACACGTTAGATATTTATTTTTTTAAATCTTCTTGTTGCTAAAAAATGTGAACAAAAATTATAATGCACAATTTTTACATTTCCTTTCATAAATTTTTGTAAATATATATATATATATGGTACATAAGATACAAAAAAAAATATATCGGCCCGATCATCCGATACATTAATATCGGCACCCAGCCCTGGATAATTAATTTGATACGTTAATTAGTGGATGCTAAAATGGCTTCCATTTTTGAGAAAAAAGGGTTAGCTCCCTGAAGATTTTGCTCGCAGATGGCACACAAAGGTTTCGATATCTTTCTAACGAAGTCTCGAGGCCTTAGTCAATATTTTTTTTCCTGACCTAAACTATTTTCAAAATGGAATGATATAGCATGCATCACTACTACCAGTCAATGCCATTGTTCATATCCAAAAGGTGATACAATCATAGTTTTAAGAACCACATCCCTTTCTATTATAATTTATAGGGATTTAGTGGCTGAAAGTTATAGATGCCAGGGAGGTAAACATCTTTTTAAATTAAATAAACCGCTAAAAATGGAGGAGATATTAGGCGAGATTCCTATTTATAGCGATATTTAGAAACGGGAACCGATTTGTTAGGAGTTCACATCTAAAAATTTTCAAGAACCGATTTTGACAGTTTAGAATGTTGTTGAACGGCTCGATTTCGTCGAATTTTATTAGACTCTAATTCCCTAACGCTATTTTAATCATCTTCAGATTTTTTTTAAACATTTTTATGCTGTTCATGATATAAATGAATCGTTTTTTTATACAATTTGAAAAAAATTAAAAAATAAATAATCCTAGGTATTAGGGTAAATATCAGCAATTTAGATAACGCTGACTATTCAACTAGTATACGTCAAAGCTATTACTATTTTCCCAAACAGGAGTTCGCCATTTATAAAAGTTCGGCTGGTAGAACTTCCCTATTGTGCATTCAAGATCCATTGATTGAAGGTTTTATTTTATAATTATAACTTGGCACACATTTTTAACTTGATTTTAACCCTTTCTTCAATATTTTGATAATTTTTTTAAAAATACATTTAAGAACACGATACTGCCAAAAGTTCGTACGCGTTCGCTAAGGTTCATAGGGCCTTTCTGATGGCTTACGTAATTCTGAGCCGTTCGCTCTTACCGACGTTTTACGCGCGAGATGCCCGACAATCATGTGATAGGTTTTCATAAAAATGTTTTATTTTTTAGTTTGTCAGTTCAATACTTTAAAAATGCCTGGGAAAAGAAGTGCGTTCTTTTTTTTAAAAAGTAACTAATTAGTAATCACATTACCCCACAAGGAATTCCGTTACTAATGACATTTAGTTTTTTTTTCATGCTGTTACTATTTGAAAATTAATTTATCATATTATTTAAGATTGTTAAATTTTGATTCACATTGTAATTTTTTAACTTCAAGTATTGCCGTTTTTTGTTGTTGCTGATATCGAAATTATTTTAATTATCTAGCATATTAGGTCAAATTATCCAAATTCCGGAGGAAATGAAGTCTTACAGAAGATGGGTCAACAATAATTATAAATCCGATCATGACATCTAGTTTTTTAAAACAAATAATTATTTATTTACGGGAAATAAAGCTTTTTTTTGAAGTTATCCAATTTTTATTAGTTCATATATATTGTGATATTATAATTCATTTTTATATAAAATAATTTATAAGTAATATACGTATTTTACAATTAAAAAATCTTATCTCGATTTTTTTTATAAAAATAAAATATTATTTAAATAGACTGTTATTACAATAAAATTTGTGATACGAAATGATTATTAAATGATTCCAATATTTAAAAATAAATCAGAGTTGTACAACACCCATTCCATGGTTTTAGTTATAGATCAATACTTTTTTAATTTAAACCAATATACCCTCAAAAAAGTCATAATTATCTCGTAAATCATTTTTTTTGAAAAAAAAGATTGTCCCAACCATAGCCCAGTGACATATAATAATACCTCAGTAAAAGTGTACATCAATGTAAATCAGCTGGAGACGCCATTTTCATTACCCATATCATTATTCAAAATTTTAAACGAGAGGAGGCCAATATACGCAAACTTTATCAAAGAATTGCCTGATCATCGAGATAATGAGAAAGCAAGTTATCAATTTAATAGTAGTTTTTAAGATGAGAATATTTACGGGTTACCAAAATGGCGAATCCAGCTGATTTGCATGGAACGAATACATTATTATGAATACATCGTCAGTCTTAGGAATTATGTCATTGAATGAGCCATAAATTTATAAAAACAAATTTACCTATAAATTTTGAGAACCGATAAGTTAGAAAGTGTCGTTAATTTCCAACTCACAACTCAGCCCCCCCCCATTCTTTAGCTTATTGAACGTTTATAAAGAGCTTTTTAAAAAAAAAATATTCGAAGATCATAAATATTGAGTTTCATCGCGAGAGATATTTTTTATGCTTTAAAAATCCCAAAAAGACACAGTAATAAAAAATTCTTATAATTTTAGGTATAAAATTTGAACTAAAAATTGGTTTTTATATAAGGAGGGGTAGTGTTGTTAAACGACTCGTTTTGAGCCGATTTTTAAATACGGCTAACTCATTATTTCATCCAGAAAACTATTATGCAAGCCTGAAGAATTTGCTCATAGAAGGAACAAAGGTTTGGACATCTATTAGCAAAATCTCGAGGGTTCGGCAATATTTTTCTGACTAAAATATTGAGTTAGCCGTTTAACAACATTATCAATACAAAGTTTAGACTTATATTTCACTTATTACCCATTAATAAAAGATGATAAAACGACAAACATAATAATACAAATTATTATTTTTTTTTAATAACGATTGATATCCACCAACAAATCTAATTGCATCTATGATGAATATCCATATTCTCGGGCGAAATTTAAGTTTAAAATTTGCCAATTTGTTTTTTTCTTTATTGTTACATAAAGAACTAAGTAAAGGTTTTTGTAAGCCTGGAATAAATAAAAAAATGCAAAATAAATTTGCGCGAATTGTTTGTGAGGTTTTTATTTTAATTTTTTTTCTTATTCTTTAAAAAAACCAGTAGCATTTGTCCTACATTTACTATTGTGCGTTCGATAATAAAATCACATTTGCAAAAGTTATCACAATCTAAATTAACGTGTAATTACATAATCATTTAATAATAAAAAAAATCACAATAAGATTAATAATAATGGAAGATGGAGTAGGTAAATTAGCGACATGAATTTATGATCACGATTATTTATATATTTTTTTTTGATAATACAATATACAAAACTATTTTCTTAAGAGTAGTGATAAAACGACTCGTTTTGATCCCGATTTTTTAAAAACGGCTAACTCAATATTCCATCCAGAATAATATTACCCAAGACTGTGAAGATTTTGTTTGTAGAAGGAACAAAGGGTTTGGATACCTATTAGAAAAATCTCGAAGCTGGCTAAAATATTGAGTTAGCCATTTTTTTAAAAAATAAGGCTTAAAACGAGTCCTTTAACAACACTAAATTAAGAGTATAAAAAAAATTTTTTTTTAAGACGGATAACAAATTTTGGACAAATTAGAAAAATGTAAATAAAAGAGTTTTTTTTTTTGCTTAAAAAATATAATCACATAATTAATTATAAGGTGTTATATGCTTTATAAAATAAATTTAGATAAATACTATTATAAAATATTTTAAAAAAAATTCCTTTTGCGAGACATATTATTTCGTAGATTTATAAAACCCTTTTTCTTTTTTAAAAATTTTTCATAATTATTTCTATTCAAAAAGTAATAAATTCACACGGTAATAGATCACCAATCGTAGTGCTGTTAAATTTCCTAACTTTAACCATCTCTATTGTAGCTTAATCAATCTTTTAGCCTAAAAAATTGAATTAGGCTTCTAAGTTGAGTCTCAACTTGGAGACTGGTTAGAACGAATTAGGTAGTTTAACAACACTAACCAATCTAGACGCGCAAATCAAAAATGATTCAATCTCATTTGTTGGATTTTTTTTTAAAAAAAATTTACCTTTTTTATCGTCGTTTAAATTAAAATAAAAAATACCAATGTTTTTTAATATAGTTTAGTTTATTTTTTATTAAATTCTTTATAATTTTATTATCGTGTATTTTGTTTTCCTTCAAGAAAGATGACTTTTGTCTTTGAATATAATAAAGTATGATATGATGGCCACCAATGCCCCAACAATGGCCGTTCCAATCATGATCATGGGTAAATTGTTGCCGACGCTCCTTTAATTAAAATATTAAAAATTAGTTATTTAAAATAAATATACAAAAATAAAAATAGGTTTGGTTATCGTCATAAAAAGACACATTAATAATCTATAAAAATTGATGAATGTCTGTCTAGAAATGGGTGATAGGAAAATCAAATTTAAATTGATCAAGATTTTTTACATGTGATTTGTAAATTTATAATATAAGTGCTATATCTTAAAGCGACTTATGACCTGTTCTAAAAAAAAATTCCTAAAATTGTCAAATTTTTACTTGGTATCTAGGCTAACGTCTTTACCAGGAATGTTCCCTATTTTACATCTCTCTTCCTGATTAAACATAAATAAACTTTTTTAAAAAATAAAAAATACGTGTTTATGTGGAAACCAATATGCAAATAATATAATATTCTTTTTAAAAAAAATTTTCAGAAAAAAATATATATAATTTTAATTAAAGTAAGGATGGTTATTTTAAATCTCTTTATTTCCAACCCATCCCCGACAATATTAAAGTCGTATTATAATATTTTAAGACGATTTTTAGTTGGTGCGAGATGGAACATTATCATTTATTTATGATGAAAAAACGTATTATATCAATTTTTTGGAAATCCTTTTTATAAAACTTATAAGGTAAAAAAAAAATAATAATAATGCGATGAGATAAATGGAAGCTTACCAGGTTAAGTTCTCCTATGCAATAAGTCTTCATAAGTTCGCGCGCGTCAGTCGAATGCCCGACATCTTCAAAATTATCAGTCGCGTCCATCCCTTAATCATGTTTCAATAAGAATCATGTTATAATAAGATAGAATAATATAATGCTGAAAATAGTATTCTCATTTTTACTATACCATACTCGCCCCTTTCAAGCTTAATATCATTCCAAGGTTCATTTAGTATTTAGTAATGTTTTATAATGAGGATAAAGTAGAAATTAGATCTTTATAAAGTGACCAATAGTTTCACGAGGTAAGGGTTTAATTTTCAGGAAACTAAAGAAATTCAATTACATTATTTTAAAATAAAATTATTCTCGTTCATCTTGGCATTTGGAACATTTTAATTACCATTTATTTTCAAATGGGTAGGCATGGTCCGTTTAATACCGGTTTTACGTGCCCTCGAAAGCTATACTGAGACCTATCGAAAATTTTTCGATTTGATCAGAAATATTTTTTTTTAGTTTGAGACCGGGGATACTATGAGCCCGAAGTTCTTGCGAGCATTGAAGTTTTCTTCTTCTAGAGTACTCAACTCTAATGGTTAATTTTTTTAACCATATGTGTATAAACTTCATTATGCATATGCGATAATTTTTTTTTTCATTATCGGATAATATATATAATTTTTATAACACAATTATATGATTTATACCCTTCAATAAATGCTGAAATTAATCAAAAAATAAAATAAATAATAAAGGTTTTAAATTATCCAATAAATATATCATATAAAAGATTAAAGCCCTAAATCATATAAAATTATTCTTTTATTTTAACAAAAAATATTTTTAAACTACCAATAAAAATTAAATTTTAATGAAATTGAGGGTCTTGGAGGGATACTTTTCTAGAGGTTCATATGAGCCTTTTTTGTGCGTCATTTTTTAAATTTATTTCTGCTTATTTGATATTTGAATATGGTAAAAAAATCGTCATATTTGACAGAAGCTACACAACTAACAAAAATGATTGAGATCATTCAATAAATTTAAAGAAAATACGTCCTTGTTAGCCTTTGTGGAGAGAAAAGCTAGCTTAGGTTTTGCAACAGTAATAAGATATAAAATCGAGATTAATGAAACAAAACAAGATTTTAAATTTTGTAAGAAGTGAAAGAAACTATATTAGAATTATCTAATAAACGCATAGAAAATGTTTAAGGGTCTTGATCCCAAGTAAATCTTATTGGTGGACACATGGATTCCATTGCAATTTCAATACATTCTTTATTTGTTTAAATTGTTATAGCTTATTTTTATCAATAAAGTAGTTGCAAATAATATATATAATTTTTATATTTATAAAAAATAATCAATATTAGCGGCTCAAAGGCGCATCCTTTAGTTATAATTTTTTTAATAAGTGAAATAAAATGAGATACTATTTATCAAATGGTAGTTTTAATTTTATAGTCGTCCTTTTATAGGGCTCTCATACACCCCGGTCTTTCCCCTAATCAAAAATTTTACATTTTCTAAGAATCGAAATCGAACATATTCGTTTTCTTATGAATATGTCCAATTGAGAACTTAATGATAATGGCAAAGTTTCTCGGGAATTGCCAAGTTCTAAGCCAACAATGCTACATGTTAGGGTAAATGTGTTTTTTATGGCAATGTTTTACTTTTTTTCAACTTCAAATCATTTTGAGCGCGTTTTTTTTTAAATTTAAAATTTAGATTTTACCGGAAATGTATTACAGCATAGAAAGAAAGAAAGAAAGAAATAGAAAATTATAGATAATTTAACCTATAACCTTTCGAGTAATATATAATGTATATTGAAAAAATTTATGGAAAAAATTTAATATTAAATTATATTAAGTTTCAAGAGTTCGCAGACCAAAAATTGTGTTTAATTCACAGGGTGGGTAAATTCAAAACATGACGGCATACATTTCCGGTAAAATCAAATTTTTATAAATTTTTTCGGGTTAAAAAAAAATGGTTTAAAGTTGGAAAAATAACAGAATGACGCTAACATATATAATTGTATAAAGACATAAGCTCAAAACAGGTGGGGTGCAGACCTGCCCCGAGATAGATTTCCAAATTTACGGCCATATTAGGAATAACTTAAATTATAAGAATTCAGAACCTGGTGAGAAAAAAAAAATCAAAAGTAAAAATCCGAACCGAACCCGTAAAAAAATTAAAATTCCCTATAAACTATTCTCGTTCCTTGATTTTTATTTTCGATATTATAGCTACGAGCTACATTTTTTTTTATTTTATGTTCATTTAAAAATATTAAATTTTAATATTTGGATTCTATTTAATTAAATTAAATATTTTTTTAAATCTTGTTATAAATAGTTTTAAAAAAAATCACTTAAATAAATGAGTTTTAAAGATAGTTATTCTATTTGATACCATCATCGTATTTTAGATATTTTTATTTTCCTAAAATGCATTTGATTTCTACCAAAAAAAATTTATAAAAAGGTCTAAAATATAAACGTATATATAATATATAAGTGATTTCAGTTAAAAAATAGCAATTCACCTTGATTACAATTTAAAATATAACAATGCCATAAAAGAAAATGCGGCTCTGAACGAGTTTCAAGGTTAAATTTTTATAAACCAGTCCGTCAGTTTAAAAATAAATTAAGTAAATTAAATAAAGACATTGTCTTTTGTAAAATGATATTATATTTTTAATTGTATCTTTATAACATTGATGATTTTTTTTAATAGAACTCGATCCAAAATATAATGAGAATAAAGAAAGAAAGAAAGAAAGAAAGAAAGAAAGAAAGAAAGAAAGAAAGAAAGAAAGAAAGAAAGAAAGAAAGAAAGAAAGAAAGAAAGAAAGAAAGAAAGAAAGAAAGAAAGAAAGAAAGAAAGAAAGAAAGAGAGAGAGAAAGAAAGAAAGAGAGAAAGAAAGAAAGAAAGAAAGAAAGAAAGAAAGAAAGAAAGAAAGAAAGAAAGAAAGAAAGAAAGAAAGAAAGAAAGAAAGAAAGAAAGAAAGAAAGAAAGAAAGAAAGAAAGAAAGAAAGAAAGAAAGAAAGAAAGAAAGAAAGAAAGAAAGAAAGAAAGAAAGAAAGAAAGAAAGAAAGAAAGAAAGAAAGAAAAAAAAAAGATGTTCAAGCTTATAATATTATTTTGGCATGATGAGTAGAAAAAATTAAGTTCGATAATCATTCATTACAACACGTAAAAGCCTAAACACACTTTCACTTAATGTAATTTCTTTTGTCGACGAATTTTCGGGGTTTAAACCCGTATTTTTTTTTATATAACCCAATGGTTAATATTAAATTGTAATAAACTGGTCGGTCACTTTATAAAGATATGCGATATAAATATGAATAATTATTTTATTTGTATTTATTTTATTATTTTTTTTACCAGCTGATTCCAATAATACCTCTTCACCTCCGGGATGCTTTATTATTATATAATATTGAAAAATAAATAAAATATAGATAAAAAAAATTATACAAATAGAGTGATTGGCATAATTTAGCGGGAAGGTGAACCCAAACTATCGTTATTTTTTTGCCGAACCCGAACCCTTTTTAAAAAGGTTATAAGGGTTCAAATGTGTATAAAATCATATTTTCCTTGCGGGATCATATTTTCAATTTTTTTTTTCTTCCTCCCATTTTGTAAAGTAAAATTTTTTTTTTATTAATAAATGATAATTTTAAAATTACTATAAATAGAAATGTGTAATAAAATATCTTGGGGCAAAAGAACATACAATCAAAATAAAATACAACTCTTCTTAGCAGAGTTGTTAAAGTATCTAGATATAAAAATGTGGTATCTGTAAGTAGATACATTTTTGTTTAAAGTAACTGTATCGGTTTTCGATACTTTTAAGATACATATTGATATACTTTAAAAAAATACTTGAATGCAAAATTTATTTTATTTCATATGAACGTATAATGTTAAGTTTTGTTAAATGGCTCGATTAGAGAGTCGATTTTTTTTGATAAAACGGCTAACTCAATATCTTATCCAGAATAGAATTGTGCAAGCCAGAAGAGTTCGCTCATATGTGGCCACGTGGCACGAAGGTTCTAGAAACATATTAGCCGAAATTTCGAGGCTTAGGCGATCTTTTTTTTCTGCCTAAACGAGCCGTTTAAACAACACTAAATTTTTCTATTAAATGTTTAAATCAATTTAAAATAAGAGCGGTTACGTTCCTTGAAATACGTATTGCCAGATTTGCGAGGTGAAACACATTATTCAATATTTCTTTAAAGTTCTCCAAACCCTGAAACCGAACCCCTTTTTAAATTATACCTCTGAAACCGGGACCCGAGCCCCATTTTTTGGGTTGAAGGGTTTACATCACTGATAGAATGTTGCCATATCATCTAACTTGGGATCAGCAACCACGTTTTAGACATGCCTTTAGCCAAAAAAAACAATTACCCTTAATCCTAGATGATGCTTTTAGCTATTCCTGGTCTCAATCAACTTGAAATATTTTACTTTTGTTTTGCAAGTGAAAGGGTTATGGTGGCAAATTTTAAAATGGTAGATAAATATAATGTCAAGGAAAATTTGATATCAATATTAATTGATAGAATAAATTATTAGCATATATATATTTCTGTTGCGAATTTTCATAAATAAAAGTTTATTGGAATATATGTGATGAGAGATATGACCAGTAATTTTTTGAAAATTATTTTTGCCCCCATTTGAATTTTTTGACTGGGGGGTGGGGGGGTTCACCTGTCTTCCCCTCCTGTTGGGGGCTGTGTTTCATCCAAAAAAAGGAATTTAAATATATCTTTATTTTCTTAAATAAAATTGCCTGCATTGACCCAAAAAATTTTAACCAAGCCAATCCAATATTTTGATTGATTACTAATTTACTATCTATCTTCAAACCAATGTAAAAAAAATTCGTCAACTGTGGGAAAAACAAGAAGCATTTTGAGATTCTATGTTTTTCATGGTCATGGCCAAGGCAATATATGGTGCATCATCAAGAATAATTAAATGCATTTTGTTTTTTTTTATTTAAAAGTTTAATAATTACATTCAAAATATGGGCAATGTTTATGACTGAATGACACTCGTTAAATATTTCTACATTCTTTATGAGTTGCTATTAATATATGATAAAAAAATGATATAACCTTGGTTACTCATTATAAATAATTTGATTTTTGAAACATCACGAATAAATTGAATTTTGGTTCTGTTTATACTCTTTTACCAGAAAAATATGTATAAAAAATATTATACAATTAAAAAATAAAATAAGCATAAATAATTATAATATTGAACCAGGTATACATATTTGAAAATATTAGCCAAGTCCTGTTTTTAAACATTTGTAATTGGCAAAGGTAAAAAGAATATTCATTGGCTATTATTATATATTTATCTTTCAAAGAAATCTGATATATATTTTTCTTTGTCATTGAATATTTAGAGAATATTTTTTTTAAATGAAAATTATTTGTAACCTAAAACTCTTAAATTGACAATATTTGATAATCTGAATCAAATTATATTATTGAGTCCCAATCACCTACTATAATATATTATTGTATAAATTATTTAAAAAATTTATGATTTTTTTAAAATTTTGTACATTACCTCATCTTTAAACTTGGTAACATCATAAACTTTATCATGAATGAGCACCCATAATGTATCATATGTATTATGCTCATTTATTTCTGAGAGCGAAAAATATTTGTGGGCTATTTCCTCTTTGACATCAACCATTCCAGTAATATATCTGTAATTATTTAAAATAATATCAATATTTGTTGCCATCATATAGATGAAATTTAATTAGAATTGGGAGTATTTTTTTATACTTTTAAAACATTTAAGGTGGTGGTATTAATCCAACATTCATAAAGAGATAAAAATATGAATTATTTCTATCAGTAACATTTATATATTTAACAAAGGTAAAATATCTAGATTTTAATGTAAGATCATAAATTACTTTATAAAATTGTTAATATATTGTGTTCAGGGTATCTAAATATTAATATGTCTTATTTCGTTTGATAGATATTTATTTTTTTATAACTAATCATGTGGTATTTTTAAGAGACCGTACCGTAAAATTGTCATTATAATAGTTTTTTTAAAAAATCATTGATAAATTTATTATAAATAAAATAAACTTTAGATTTAAAACATAAAACGCAATTTCTTTAAATTAAGCAAAACTAAATAACTGGCTACTAAAATTAAATAAAGGTAACTGAGGATTGCTTAAGAAATCTAATTATTCCGGTAAGCCGAACCGTATCACGAAATGGAAAAAAATATCTATAATTTTTTGAACTGTTTAAAAATACATTTATGAGAGAGCTGAAATGTTATAAATACGTACCAACTGGTTTTATGTGGTTATATTATATTACTTAATTGGTAAATTTCTCATGCACTATTTTGTTTTTAAAATATTTTAATTAGATTAGTTGTAAATAAAAATTGAGATTAATTTTACATATAAATAAATTTGAAGTCGTAATTGACATTTTTATTTTTATTTTATTATATAGTTATAACTGCAATATAAGCCTGAGTTGGCATATTTGTTTTTGTTTTAAAAATCTATTTTAATATTTATAATTTTTATTAAAGCGAGTAACGATGATTCGCTTATTATTAGTGTATATTAAATATATTTTTATATTGTGATTATTATTATTTATTTTAAGTTATAAATTTTAATTAATATTATGGAGTTAACAAAAGATATAAATATTTCTGTGTTGTGGTATTGTTAATTACTTTAAAAGAGTCTTAAAATTTATTCCGAGGTTTTAAGTGAAAGTATTTCTACGAGTACATTGCGGTCACAACGGCAATACACCTGATCAAAACTAAATATCTATAAAATTAAGATTGTGAAAAGAAAGAATTAACAATTAAGCTAAAGTGTTTGCGTTATATAAATATATATATATTAATATTATTGTAAAATTTGAATGTCAATTATAGATTGATTGAAATTGATAGACATATATATGTAAGTGATATTTTATAAAAAATCATTACTTGTCTTAAGTTGAAAAAATTTTTAAATAAAGGAAATTTGATTTTTAGCATTTGATAATTATCACATATATAAGATTGGTGACGTATTACCAGGATCAAAATTCTAATTGGGAAAAATATTTAAATAGATAAAAACAAATGGACGATGTTGATCATTTGTATTCAAAGAAGAAATTTTACCAATGAAGATCATTCGAATCCGCATAAAAAGGTTAAAAAAAAATTTTTCTTTGTTGAAATTCTACTTTTAATAGGATGCAAATTTTTAAGAATATTTTTTTTAAAGTATTTAATTAGAGTTTTGATAAATTTTATGTGTCCAATTGTGTGGTTACAGCTTTAATTTTTTTAATTTTATATATTTTATTGATTTTTATTATACAATTAATTAATATAATTAAGAAGTGATATGTTACAAACAAAGTGAGTAGCTTGGATGATTCTAATCTTATGGATTTGAATTCTAAAATTTTTAGATTTTTCTGAAGATATAAAATATAGTTTAAATTTGATTTTAATTGAACTTAGAAATTTAAATATTCAGAAAATGAATAATTCCAGTGGGAATGAGAAATCAAATTCTAGTTAACTACCTATTATTGGTAAAAGTTTTATAACGTTATAAGATATAAATGATGGGTTAAATTCATTTATGATTGAAATTAAAAAGATAATATCTGAAATTGTGATTGATAAACCTGTGAAGGTTATAAAAAGTAATGTTGTTACTAACAATGTTAAACAAAATGAAAATGAATGTTTAATTCCAAAGGATATCAAAGAAAATAGAGAAAGTTTAAAAATATTTCTAAAGATATAGATACAATTAGAAATAAAAATTATAATTTTAGTAAAATTTGTGGCCGAAGGGGTCATAGTGGAAAAATTGTTTTTCGCGTGATCGAAAAATTAATGAAAATGTATGTGTAAAAATTAATGATAAAAATGATATAACTTGTCATCGATATGGTTTTACAGGTCATATAAGGAAAAATTGTATGGTAAAAGAAGCAAATTTACCAGGAGCCCACCAGTATATATAATGACCGAATGTTTTTTAAGTGTGAGAAAATTGGTCATGTAGCTATGAATAGTGTTCAATCCTTGAATGAATTGCAATGACTATATAATTTGAAAGTGAATCATATAAAATTTGAAAAATCATATATTAATAATAAAATTTGTATATGTAGTGATATTAAAAATAATTCTGATATATTTAATAAAAAAAGTATCGATATTCAGAGGCCAATTTCAGAGTTGAATTTAGGCATGAATATTAGGGATATTAATGGTAATTCAAATATAATAAATATAATTCTGTTGATTAAAATGAATAAAATTTTAATGATTAATAGGTTAATCAATGTTCATGTCCTCGTGTGAATATAAAATTTGATAGACAAAATATAGAAATGTTGTTTGACACTGGGGCAAGCAATTCAATAATGTCTAGAGCAAATTATTATAAATATTGGCCTGAGGGTACACTTGATAATGAAACAATGTGTGTTAGACAATTTGATGGGTTTGAAATTGGGGTTTTGAAATTTTTGATAAGGGTAAAACATGGGAAAAGACTTATTTTTCGTAAACAATAGAGAAGCCTATATTAAATTTTTTATTAAATTCATGTGAATAATACCACGTGTCATGGTATTAGAAGATTCAATGAAATACAATCTTTTGTGTAATAAAAAAAATTTTTATTTAAAGAGACATTGTTGTGTAACAATGTGAAATAAAAAATTTTTTTAATTACGTGATAAAAAAAAACTTTAAATAAAAAGTTGGTTGACAATAAAAGATTTTAAACTTTAACCTTGTGGTTAAATTATGTAAAATAATAATAAAAGAGTTTTAAAAATTGTTAGGTTTAATAGTTATAATTAAAAATTTAAATTTTTTTTATCCATCTGCACACCTTTATATTGTTTTTTATAACATAAAAAATATGATTTTGATGACATTAAATATATAAATATGTTATAATTTTGTTTTTGTTATATGACATATCTTTATATTTTTTTGTGGTTCATATTATTTTCCTTAATGGATATGATGATATTCCATGTATGTAGTTTTAATAGTTATAATTATAAATTTTTTTTATCCCTCTTCATATTCTTTTATTTTGTGGTCAATTATTGTTTTATAATTGAAAATTAAGAAAAGGTAAAAATAATTAGGATTGTTGAATCCAAATTTATATGCATTATGAAACAAATAAATTATATTAATTATTTAATATAAATAAATGTATTATAATTCGCATATCGAAAAAAAACAATTCAAAAGTGTAAAGAACCGAGTAAAAGCAATAATGTTTAAACAAAAGTACGATTCGATAAATGACGAAGAAATGATCAATGTCCTAAAAGAACGATAATTATATGGTATCTGGATTTTTGACGGGTGGGCGTGTTGCAGATAATTAAAGAGAAAAATAAAAAAATGTTTATTTATTTTCAAGAAAATGACAAACAAGATTATTATATTTTTATATTTATTTTTTTCTCAGATAAATAATATTCAATCGAATATTTATGAGTAATGTAATAATTCATTAATTTTGTCGATTCATGAAGATTATTGTATTTTGCATAAATGTTGTCGATTCGGGATCATTACTTGTCTTATGTTGTGAAAATTTTAAAATAAAAAAAATTTGATTTTTAGCACTTGATAATTAGCACTTATATAAAAGTTTGGAACCCTGGTTAAAATAAAATAGGTATTATGAAATTTGTAATTTAAAAAATCGCCTTTAACCTCTAAGTTAAATAAGGGGAGGAGGTATTAGCCTCAAGGTTAATAAAGTTAGATTTTAAATTTCGAGATTATTTAGTGGGTTTAGCGTCACATAAGAGCGGGGGAAGGTGGGGGTTGGGGGGGGGGTAGTAACAGTTTTCATTCGATTTGTTAAGATTTATTAGGGGGGGGGGGGGTAATCTATTAGATGTAATTGGGCAAAATATATTTTTATAGGATTAAGACTTTAATTATAGACCTATTATAATATAATGATATTTAATCATCGATCAAATCTTTATATTGCTTGCAATCATGGACCTTTCTTTTCAAATAAAACATTCTGCTATCCTTTAGATATACTCAGCATATTTATATTCATTTCCATCAATATACTATAATAATGCATTCATTGCAAATGAGAGGGTTCGAAATTGAACTCAAGTTCTAAAAAAAAATTATTATACATTCCCATATTTTGATAGTTGGTTTTGTATTAATAATTGAAGTTATTCTAATTTATCAAACGAGATGGGTATGATAAAATACTGCATTTCTAAAACAATCATAATCAATCAAAATTTTATTGTATAATCTTTTATATAATAGAAATATAATTAAATTTATATATTGTTTAATTATATATATGGTCATTAAAATATCATACATTCGCATCACTAATTTTGAATATCCATATTTGCGTATATATTTTAATTCCCGCCTGCCTAATTTTTGGATTCAAAATTAAAATGCTAAAGAAGCTGAGGGTTTTTATTCCAGTTTCCGGTGAAACGAAATAAAATTTGTTATTTTCAATCACAATATAGAATACCAAGATTCAATACTATATTAGAGTTATTATTATAATATATATCTATTTTTTTAGATCAAACTATTCCATCGGTGGCGGGTATGTCATGTAAACACTAATTGAAGTCCTATGAAGAATATTCAACGTTTTAAAATTATTTTCAAGAAGCTTTACAATCAGAAATTCCTCAAGATAAGATATTTTGTTAATTATGTACTTCCAGCTTATACAATTTATAATTATAACATGAATTTTATTATCTTATATACATTTGAATCATGGTCAGTACATAGATAGTTAGATCTGAATTGGTACTTGTAGAATCCTAATTATGGGCATATATAGAACTGTAATGATCTTGTATTTGTGAATCCCTTAGTTACACCTAAAGAAAGGTTTTGGTACCTGTGGAACACTAATTATGGGCATGTTTTTAGAACTGTAATAATATTGCATCTATAAATTCCTTTTAAGGAAATAGCATTTATTAACTAT